ATTCAGATAATTTTCTATATTCTATACTTGAAAAAAACTTTCATTTTCCTCATTATAACTCTGTGGACCATATGTATGTTTCCCTTGTAACCTTTTACTTCCCACAGTAATCTTCTACAATTCCTAGCTTCCAGTGTACATGCATGATACCACATTCCCTCTTCTGTTTCATAGATGTTTTCCTTGTAAACCACCCTGGCTTTTCAGCAAATGTATTCCTTAGTTGTGGGATTATGGCTTTGTGGGTATCTGGGCTAACATCCCTAAACGGTTTCCAATTATCATTCTCCCATTTCAGATTAAATTCCTTCTCCCAGTAGATTTACCTTATAATAGTATTCACCTTTATAAAAGGCTTCACCTTTCAAAGCATTAAGTATATATATTATTGGTTTGGACTTAATTCTGTTTGCACATAACAAATGTGATCAAATCATTATCAGTTATACCTAAGCTATGGTTAATTTTTAGTTCTGTGATCAACTCCTTTTCATCTGACAAGATGAGGTCTAATATAGAATTCCCCTGTGTTGGATGCAACACTTTTTGAGTTAGGAAACTGACATTTAAAATATTTTGAAATTCCAAGTACATTTCAACACTGGCAGCATGAGACCTCCAGCATATGTCACTCAGATTGAAATTCACTACAGTACAGCAGTGTTTTCCCTATATGTTGTAAGTGGGTAAGGCATAGGTCATGCTGTTCTCTAGTGTGATTTGATATCAGCTAAGTACCCTGTCAACTTCTGACTTATCCGTTAGAACATTGACCCAAAAACATTCAAGATCATTTGCTTCCGATTGCCATCAACTCAGAAACAGGTAATGCCATTTTTGAAGTGCTTTCTGTCCACTTGATCATTCCAAAATAGATTATAACAATTGATTTTGACATTCCAGTCTTCCAACCAGTTTTAGCAATAAAAACTAGGTCAAATCTGTACTAAAAAATGACCTCTTCTGCTGGTGTCAAGTTTCCAACAGTAAAAAAGAGGCTACTGAAAAATTGCTGCTCTTTGTATTCTTTAGCATCCTGATTATGGTTTCTCTTATCATTTTCATTTGCACTTACCAAAAGCTCATTGGTTCCTTCTCACTATTTCCATTTCTTATAAGCTCCCAGACTCCCTAGCCGATCAGTCCCTTAGAAGAACAGTTCCTTTGTTACAGTAAATTGAGGAGCTGGCTCTCATCAACAGAAAGTGACAAAATTTTCCACAAACCAAAAGCCTTCATGTTATGTCACTTACTTAGAGATTAAGTCTAGTCTTTTCTACTCGCTCTTTTCCATTGCTCGAAAGTCCTGAAGGGTGTCAGAGAAGATCAGAGGTCCTGAAAGAAAAAAGCCTGCTCACTGCAAGTGTTCATCTATATATCATCTAAGAGACTGCCCACAAACCTTCCTTTAAGTATCGATATGATATTGTCACTGATTCTTTGCTTGTCAGCTTCAGAAACTTACTTAGCTTTGAGAGATGCTCCCATTTAAGATAACCTCATCTGGAGATCATTTGAGCTCCAAGAAAGCACACAAACACTTTCCCTTAGCTGGAGGACCCGTTAATACCGAACACCTCGAGCTGTACCGATTTCTCACAGCTTCCACGTTTTTCATGGTCTAAATCGCACTTTGCGGCTCTCCCGGCCTGCAGGCCTCTGCCAGAGCGGAATCGCTAGGCTCGTTCCTCACGCCTCGGCGACCGGCCGCCTCACAGAGACCACGGGCAGAAGTGCCTCACCCCGGGGCGGCCTCGAGGGGGCGGCGGGGCCTGGCGACGCAGGGTTCGGGGAAGGCGGC